CCCCAAAACCCCAAAACCCCAAAACCCCAAAACCCCATAGCAAACTATCAGGTATTTTATGATAAGTATGTTTAAATTTAAATATATAAGAATTTAAATTGCACTCATTTAAACATGATGTCTGAACTTTCCAAGAGAATGTCTGAAGGAATAGACTTTGAGAACTGCAGTCCTGATGTGATCCTAGAGCTTATAAGTGTAAGAATGATTCTATGATTAGCCTACTTTTAGATTAAATCAGAATGGACTAACATCCAAGATATCATTAAGCTTACTTTAAAGGCCTTTTATCAAGTTGTGAAAATGCATGATGATAAAATATTTGAAATAGAGCAAGTCTTACCCTAAAAAGCTAATAAAAATGACATTTCCCATCAAATGGCATAAAAAGCGAATCTGATAGACATGAAAAAGACAATGGCTGAAGTTGCAGCTAACATAGAGTCTAGGACTACTTATGAAGATATAAAGAGGATGCTTGAAGACAAAATAACTAAGCCAGAGATGATGTTTTAACTTCAAAATAAAGTTTCTTTTGAGGATATGAAGCATTATATAGATCAGACCCTTAATCATTAATCGCACAGTGATGCTGTTGAGGAAGAATTAGCAAGAATCAAGTAAAAGATGGAGGAAACATATAGAGATATGCAAAAGAAAATGAGCTAAGGAATAGTTGGTAGCAAGGACATTTAATAACTCTCAATTTCAATAGACACGAAATTCAATGAAATAGAACAAGCCATAGATTAAAAAGCGAATAAATAGAGTGTAGCTCAAGCTTTACATAGAAAGGCTAATAGACCTGATATTGATACTGTTTTAGCTAAGAAAGCAGATTTGAGTGATCTTTAGAGAGTTATTGCTGCTCTTGAAAATAAAATCGACATTACTAGTTTTGAGGGTTTAGTAAGAGCTGTTGAATCTAAAGCAGATAGACATGAAGTAAGCCAGTAGCCATCTAGTTTTAGGGCTTCAACAGAAGTTGATAAGGCACTTTAAAAGTTTAATAATGATAAATTTGATATGGAAAAGAGACTAAACGATATCGAAAGATCTGTTCAAGTAACTTAGAGAGATGCAATTTCTTAAGTTGACTAAATCAAATCTTTAGTTAATATGAATCTTACTTAAAAAGTTGACTATAGAGATATCGATAATATCAATCACTAAATTCATAATAAAGCTGACATAGAAAAAGTTCAAGAATTAGTAACTTCCCTGAGAAATGAGGTAGTTGCTTAATTGACATAAATAAAGAAGGATGTTAAGCAAAAAACTAAAGCGAAGGATGATGATTCCAAAAAAAAGAAGAAAGAGACTGAATTTGCTAATGAAAAAGCATTTGAAGAAATTAAAACAATAAAAGAAAAAATGCAAAAACTTGCTGCTTAATTTGACAAGGAATTGACTGAGAGAGACAAGTAAATGAAGAACATTCAATAGTCAAATTAGGGAGATATATAAAAAGTCTTTGGGAATATGCAACTTGAGATTGAGAATATTAGGAAAATAATTGCTGATATCGAGCAAAGAAAAGGTGAAAAAAGAGAACTTAATGATTTTAAATAAAAAGTGGTCTAATAAATTGAACTAAAGTCCGATTAGTCAGATGTCAGCAATTAAATAAGTAAATTTACTGCAGAATAAACTCAAAAGCAATTCGATCTTCGATAAGAGCTATTCAAGAAGGTTACAGAAATTTAAAGTAAGTATAATATTTATTTTAATCCATTTTAGATCTAATTCAGATGAATATAACTAAGAAAGTTGGAATGGAAGAGTTTAACGAGGCTCTAAGTTAAAAGGTTGACTTAACTATGCTAAGATCATCTCTTGATTAGAAGATAGGCTTTTCAGAATATGATGGAATGAAAAAGCTACTTGACAGAATTATAAAAGATATAGAAGGAAAATCTTCATTCAAAGACCTTGAAGCTCATGTGAACTTCTGCAAGAATGTATTTGAAGACTTGACTAAGGAGCTACTTCTTAAAGCCAACATCAAAGATCTAATACCACTACTAGATACCAAGGCTAATGTTGAGGATGTAAATGGAACCTTGTCATTAGTTCAGAGAGAAGTTGAAAAGTGCATCACTGAGGATGAAATGAGGAAAACACTCAATGAACAAGCACTGATTAATGAGGCTCTGTGCGCTTAAAATTGTGTTGGAAGGTGGATCTGGAAATCAGGAGAGATAAAACCAAACAGTCTTGTTCCTTGGGAAGTTTAAGCACTTAACACTTGCCCAGATAATTTCCTCTGGGAAAAAAGCAAAACTAGCATTGTTGCAGTCGCTCCAGGACTCTATGAAGTCTCATTTGGTTTCTACTCAAAAAAGCAGCCGACAGTTCAGATTCATCTAAATGGTGAACCACTTATGTCTGTTTCTAAATCATCGTAAGCATAAATCAGATGTAATATAATATTTAGATTTGTTAATGATCACGGCAAAGAAAACAGAATCAGCAATGTTGGAAAGCACTCAGCAGGAAATGTTACTGGCTTAACTCTTTTAGATTTTATTGCTCTCCCAGCTAGAGCAAGACTTTCACTTACTTTTACTTGTGATTCTCCGGGTGAAGGATTTTTCAATATCAGAAAACTTTGACCTTTTATAACTAACTTACATTCTTCATGTGAATTGATTGATAGATATAACCTTAATCTAATTTAATTATGAAATTAAGGGTAAATTAAAAGCCTTATTTAATTTAAAGATATTTACAATCAATATTATTAACTTTGAATCTGATGTCCTCATTTTTTGTAGACTGCATCTACAACTACCATTACTCCAAAGTATGTAAACACAACAAAGAGGAGTATAATGGAGGTATAAAACATATAAACATTGCCTTTGCCAATACATTTGCTAAAAAACATGCAGTGATGGTCAAGATCTTTGATACATACATCGCAATCACTGCAGTGGTAAACAGTTTGGTCTTTTTATAAATTGCAAGGCTCACAAAATGCATTTCGAGATGTATTTCTTTTTATTTAGGAACTATCTCTCTGATTTAATGACTGTCTTTCTTCATCCTCTTCATTATCAGTCTTTTAATCGTTCTTTCCTAGTTACTTCTTTAATTTGTAGTCGAAGACTGACTAGGGTACTCCAGGATTTTAAAACACCCCAAGAATTAGGGCGAAGACATTTATTATTATGAGTAGAAAATGAACAACTTTAAATCTGTAGTCTAAATTTTTTAAGACATTTATCATGAATATAAAGTAAGTAGCTGCCAGGATAGCAAAGACGAAAAGACCTATTGTGAATTACCATTAAGGGCCTACTGACATAAAAGGTGTCCTTCCCTTTTTGTAGCATTTTAAAAATAAGCACCTCAGCTCACCAATTTTCATAAACTAAGTAGGATATTGAATTAGTATTGTTTTCTTTATTTTATTTTGATCTCTTTAGCTATCTAATTGAAACAAATGCCCTTAATCTGTTTAACCATCTTAAAAATTATTAGCATAAGTCTGACCAAATTGTTCAAGTTCAATATCTTTCATTTTTAAATTTTTAATAATTAATTTCTAAAATATTTTTTCCATGGGGTTTTGGGGTTTTGGGGCATTTGTTTC